AAGTTTACCCACCGTGAATCTCTTACACTGAGTGCCTTTTAAAATTGAATCTCAAACACTGTAAAAAATAAGGGAAGTTCTAAAGGAGTTAATCCCCTGGATTTGCTTCTTTCTCCCTTGGTTTTTCTTGAGAGGAGGGTGAAGGAGTAGAAATGAAGAATCTGACTAATCTCCCCCACCAGCATTGGCACACGGGAGCCTGGCTTACGTGGGCTCCAAACTCATACAACAGGCCACAGAAAAAACATGTAGGCTGAGTCTTTTTAATTCCCAAACCCTTACTTACAGGCAGCTCTAGAAGATTCTTTCTACCTTGCATGAAGTACTAACAGGAAAGCCCTCGCCAGTGTCTCCACTGGTGCTTTTAATGGACTTTCTACTTGCACACCTCTTTCCTAATGAAGAACATCGATGCTGAACATGGACATATTCCTGGGTAGCTGCTCCAAGTCTCTGCGAACGTTACTTTACAAGTACTGTTTCCCCCAGAATAAGACCTACCCCCAAAATAAGCCCTAGCAGGATTTCTATGCATTTGTTAAATATAAGCCCTACCCCATAATAAGACCTAGTGATGGGCGTGGCTATGCAGATACACTGCATTTCTGTGCTGAGCCTGAAATAAGCCTTAGGGTGTCTTCTTGAGAAGAGTGTCTTATTTTCGGAGAAACACGGTATGTGTTGTGGAAGATTCTGCAGAGATTGTGTATGGCTTAGTTAATATTCCCAACCACCCTTGCTTTCTGTAAGTATATTTGGTCCCTTTCACAGCTTGTCTAACAGGCTTGTGACTGAGGGCTGTCTGAGGCTGCCTGGGATTCTCACCTCAGTAAATCTACTCCAAGGAAACCGTAAGGGTCCCATTAAAGATTTGGGAAACAAACGTTCTTTTGCTCTGACAATTTTGAAGGCTTCAAGGTGGAGGAGAAACTAATGGGCCGACCTTAGCCACTGAAAGAGGGGTGTGGCAGGCTGAGGTGTCTTTTCAGTGAAGGTCCTCAGAGCATATGGTGCATAGCATTACCGAGTGAAAATTACAGCCCTCTGTCACTTAGGTAAAGAAAACATGAACCTCGTTCTCTGATCACGTGAAGAGAGACACGAGCAGGTCCATGCTTACTGCTTACTGCAGTGATTTGGATCAGGTGGTGATAACACAGTGGGGAACCACGTGGGGAAGATGGAGCCAACTGTGCTTTTTCTCATTATTACAAAGATGCAGAGCCTGGAAGGATGAGGAGACCCCTGGGAAGGAGTCAGGGCTGTGATTCCCAGCATCACAGCCTCGAAGGGAAACGCTGGTGGCCACAAGGAAGCAGCTTGTACCCTATAAATACCAGGGGCCCTGCAGGCGACACATGTCCTATGCTCAAAGCCCACCAAGGACAAGGCTCCAGGAAAACCAACTGAGAGGGGTTTGGGGACTCAAACTCTGGCATGTTTTCCTAGTCCAAGGATGAGAATGACAGGCCAACAAAGAAGGTTTTTATCCCTGTGAAAAAAAGTTGTCCCCCCTCTCCCCACCCAACTCTGTTTTGGCAAAAAAAAAAAAAAAAAAAAAAAAACCATGTAGAAGGAAAATATCACAACATTAACTACGATCTGGTTCCCAGCAGTAAGACAAATAAAAATATATATTATCACCTACGATCAGTCTGGTTGAACATTTCAAATCCTTTGGGGCAAACTGATAGCTTCTTTTCAAATTTAAAAATTAAAAACCTAATCAGATTTTTTTTCTGAAAGCCTTTTCAGACCCACTCAAGCACTGGGGACCATCACTGCTGGAACCCCTGGGACACTGTTCAAAGGATGGCACTTCTGGGCTGCAGGCCTACTGAGCCAAGGGCACAGCTGATATCCTCACACAGAGTAATGCGGAGCAGGGCGGCAGAGAGGGATGAGCAGTGTCCCCAGGTACAGCAGCACACATATCCAGCAGGAGGCCATCTTGACCCAGAAGATGGACCTGTTCCCGCTGAAGAAGGCTTCCAGGTGGGCACTTTCATAGCTGCAGAAATAAAGAGACCCAGCTGTGGTCAGAGCAGGAACAGTGGTGGTGGCAGGGGTCTATCTCACTGTCTCCCTCCTTCCTGTCCCAACCCCAGCCTTTCTTTTTCCTTTTTTAACCACTCAATTGTGTGATATAATTCATACCCATTCATAATTAGCATAATTCACAGACAGACAAGCACAACCATAACCACAATCCATTTTAGAACATTCTCATCACCCCAGAAAGAAATCCTGCACCCTTAGCTGTCCTCCCCTCCCCCCTGCCCCTATCACCATGCACTCACCAATCTAATCTACTTTCTGTCTCTCTGGGATTTGGCCATTTTATACAGTTAACATAAAAGGAATCCTGTCACCTCCTACAACCGTTTTTTTTTTCACTTAGCATGCTATTTTCAAGGCACATCCATGTATCAGGATTTCATTCCCTTTTACTGCTAAATAATATTCATTGCATGGACATAGCAAATTTTGTTGATCCATTCACCAGATGATGGACATTTGAGTTGTTTCTACTTTTGCTATTATGAATAATCCTGCTATGAACATTGCTGTCAAGTTTTTGCGCAGACATATTTTTCTTTTTGTCTTGGGTATACGCTTAGGAGTGGAATAACAGCATCATACTGTAACTCCGTGTCACCATTTAAGGAACTGCCAAACTGTTTTCCAAACAGCTTCATCTCACATTGCTACCAGCGATGCAAGAGGATTCTGGTTTCTCTATTTCCTTGACGTCTGTTGTTATCTGCTCTTGAGTTATAGCTCCCTGAATCCAATGAAATCTTCCCAAATCCCTGTGCTGAAGCTGCTGCCCGTACCAACCCACCCTGCTGGTATTCTTCCTTCCTCATTTTATTTTTCTCCCAAAGCTCATCACCATCTAACACACTGTATTTGATTTGAGTCATGGTCTGTTTCTCCCACTAGACTCTAGATAGGCCCTGCCACCTACAACAGTGGAGCACATGGGAGCCACTCACAAGTGTGTTGAATTAATGAATAAAGGAAAGCACGATGGGTCTAGATGCCTACGCCCAACTGAGCAGTCAAACTTTGATAAGACTCAAACTTTGGATTTGTAGAAAAGGATGAATCTCTGTGTAGGGTCAGGGAAAGTTCAGGTCCATCATGGATTGCCAAGTTACCAAAAAACAAACAAACAAACAAACAAAATAAAACAAAACTTCAAGAGAGAAAACATATGTAACGATATTTATGCTAGAAAAATTACATCGGCTTGTCAATGCACAGGAAAGGAATGAAAGGAAACACACCACAGCAGTGGTTATCTCTGTGTGTGGGGGGGTGGGGGGTGGGGGTGTCGCTTTATTATTTTTCATAATTCCACACTGGTTCATTTTGTAAAAATAGATGTTTCAGACTTTGTAACAAAAATGTAGGAAAAAATAGGGGGGAGACACACAAAATATGAAGTAGGAGGCAACGGGGGATATTTTCTCTTTCTTAGAAGGAGATGATTACTTATGAATTGCACATTTTCCTCAATTACTATTACCCATGTGGAGCTAACTTTCCATTTTCTTTTTTTTTTTGGTTGCAGCCGTCATTGTTGTTTGGCAGCCCGGGCTGGATTCGAACCCGCCACCTTGGGTGTATGTGGCCAGCACCTCAGCCACTTGAGCCACAGGTGCCGAGCCACTTTCCATTTTCTTAATGTTGCAGTATGCATCACCAATTTCCAGGGTTAAAAACAAGCCAATTAACTGTTAAAAACTCAGAACCACTCCCTAAAGGTTGTGAGTGCAGCAGAACTAAGGTAAGGTTTAGTTCACTCCAGCACATTTGCTGAGTGTCTGTGCATATTCCTTCCTGTCTTCCTTCAATTATTTAAAAGATGGCGTCCCACTATGTTGCCCAGGCTGGTCTTGAACTCTTAGCCTCAAGCAATACTCCCAGTTTAGCCTCCCAGTCACTGGAATTACAGGCCTGAGTCACCACACCCACCTGTCTTAGCACTTTAAAGGACAGCACTCTTAACTTCAAGACTTCCCTTTCAAAAATGTCTAAGCCAATGGGCCACTCACTTGAACCAGCTGGTGATGGTCACCATCACGTAGAGGGAAGCCAAGAAGAACATGAAGTGGAAGTAGGAATAGTTATAGACGGTGCCTTTCTTCTCATCATAAATGACCCTTGGTCCGTCCTTTGCCTGCTGCTCGTCGTCAGTGTCTGTGAATCACAGAGGGGGCCCAAGGTCAACAAGTGAACACCTGCAAACATAACCATTCAGCAAAGCCACACTCACCAATCCAATCTCAGGGCTGCTGAGCAGGCAAGATGTCAAAAAGCCACTTATACTCTCAGGCTACTTAAAACTGTGATAGGAAACTTTTTCTTTTTTTTGAGACAGAGTCTCACTATATCGTCCTCCATAGAGTGCTGTAGTATCATAGCTCACAGCAACCGCAAACTCTTAGGCTTAAGCGATTCTCTTAACTCAGCCTCCCAAGTGGCTGGGACTATAGGCGCCTGCCACAACTCTCAGCTATTTTTTGGTTATAGTTGTCATAGTTGTTTGGCAGGCCTGGGCTGGGCTCGAACCTGCCAGCTCCGGTGCACGTGGCTGGCGCCCTAGCCATTTACAGGCACCGAGCCGAGATAGGAAACTTATTATAAGCTTAGCATCCTGGAGTTATTGAGCTCTTGGAATCTTCCAATCCATGAAGGAAAATAAGTTGAAGGAAAGAAATGGCCTTGAAATAAGGTGACGCTTTATTTTGAGGACCTTCTAGTGTTTTCCAAATCAATCCTTTAAAAGAAGTATGCTTACTTCTCTAGATCTTACCACGTAATTTGCTTCTCTAAATCTCACTGCATAACTTAACTTAAATATGAGCCAAAATATAGGCTGGTTCTCCTTGATAGACTCCCAACACAGACCGAGCCACCCCAGAGGAGAAACATGAAAAGTACATCAATAGTAAGCCAGTTTGGGAATAAACATTTTCCCCCTACCATTTGCATTATTTGTGTCTGAATCCCAACTGCCTGCAGACTAGAGCCACAGGTCTGCAGCAGCCACACAGAAGCAAGGAATAAAAGCGTTCCACTTACCCTCCCCATCTGGACCAAAGCAAAAACAACACCGAGCTACCTGGGAAGCAAAAGTAACAAAGTTAGGCAGGTGATTTCCACTCTCTACCTCCTCATCAGTGAGGCCCGAGGGTCCACCTATGCGCCAAACCTTCCCCTATTTGAATCACACCCCAAGCCCTGAAGTGTACGCTTTATTCCTTCAAGAGGCCTTGACTAAGCGTCTGTTCTCTCCCAGATGTGGAAGGCACTGGTGACAGCGAATGCCATAGATGGAGAGGTGCCACCCAGGTCCCCTTTGACGTGGAGCTTGCTCCAGTTACCCTTCCTGGGTAATCCCTGTCAAGTGGCTGATGACAGCATGGGATAAAGGCCCAGCAACTAGGACCCCCCTGGAGACAACTCTGGTGGGTTAAACTAGCTCGGGAGCACCCCCTGGGGAGAGCAAGGCTTTGTCCAGTCTGCACTGTCCTTCAGCTTCACCTTCTGCCCAATTTTACATCCTTCACCCTCCTTTCTTCCTCCCCTCCGCACATGCTGATGATTCCTAATCAATCTCCGCCCTGGCATCGATTCTGGAGAACTCGGGGTGGAACACACAGTGAGCAGGACAAGAGCCCCCTCCTGGTGCTCTCTGCCTTCTGGCGCCGTGTTACACGCTACATCACAAGATCCTCCTCAACTCTGAGGCGGGGGTTACCATACTGTTTACAGGGGAGAAAACTGAGCTCAGGCAGGGGGAATGGCTGGCCAAAGCCACCAAAGCAACCTAATGACAGGTGAAACACACCAATGCAGGATGGGAACTTGGAGGTCCCCGGTACACAACAGGTGAACGCAATGTCTAGGATAGGGTAAAGCTGACAGAGTCCAAATGGTCAAGTTAAGGCCTCTGGAAGCAGGAAGCCCACCCACATTGCCTATTAAAATCAGGCTGACATGCTGGCTATGGACAGGGAGGGATGGGACGCTTGCCCTGGAAACGTCTTTGGTACTTTCTGAATTTCATTTTGTTACTACCTACTCAGAACACGAAACTTAACTTTAAAAAATAAGGTTGTAAAAAGTTAGTACTTGGTTCCAGGAGGACTCCGATAAACACAGAATAAGAAAGCTGCCGGGTGCCAAGACAGTCTGGGAAATACTGAGTCTTTGGCACTTTCTGGATGAAGACGTTTAAGTTACAGAGAACAGAGGGCCTGGGATGAGCTGAGCCCTCATCTCATTCATACACCTCAAGGCCAAGCCCTTGTTTCTCTGCTTGTTGAGGAAACGTGTAGTAGAGGTATTAGCCTTGATAGGACCTTGGCTGGGTCAAATGGCACAGCCCAAAAATTATAAATTCATTCAGTGGGCCCAAGACATGGTATGTTGAGGTTCTAATTCTTTTGAAGCTTGTTACCAGAAGAAGCTAATAACTCTCCCTTTTAGAGCTGTATCCTGTGAAATGTGAGGCAGGAGGGAAAACCAACTTCCCTCCTGCAGATTCTCGGGTTCAGAAGGAAACACTGGGACCTTTCCCTTGCACTGAGAAGAAAAACATCCTCTCTTAAATCTAACTTAGAGACTTGCTGTTCTTTGAGCTTAAACTCTACACAATAGGGACACTGAAACCATAACCAGACAGCCTCAGCAGGTGGTCACCCAGTCAGCATTGAGAACAAACGCCTGCCTTCTAGAGACCATTCTCTTCTGTATATAGGCAGTAACTTATTCAGACTCAGCACAGTTTTCCCCTTGAAGTGACAGAAAGAGCTGGTGAATGATGCTGGCAGATTGACAGACCTTCATAATGGTTCACTATCTCCAGGTCAGGTGCAGGAAAGACCATCCCCCAACGCCCAGCTGCAGAGTACTGTGCCCATATCTGGACAGATACCAGGACTGTTCCATGCAGAGAAAGCTATTAGAAGGCAGCCAGTGGCCAGATGCCAGGCAAGGTCAGCAGCAAGGGCCAGGGCACAGCAGCTGAGCTCCTGGGCAGCAGTGGTCAGCAACACAGACTCTGCAGCTAAAGGTCTATATCAGGTGTCCTCAAACTACGGCCCGCCAAGGACATATATTCGGCCGGCCAGGTGTTTCTGCCACCGCTGCCTGTCCTGCTTAGCAGCCCACTCGTCCCGGGGCCCATGAGGACCCCTGGTCTATATCCTGGCAAAGGGTAATCTGTGAGGTTTCAACTTTCCTGTTGTTCACTCCTGTGAAATGGAGATAATGGCACCTTGCTGGGCTTTTATGAAGATTAAATGAATTCACCTGTGAAGAGCCTAGAACAGCAGCCAGCATGTGGCAGGTCTCAGCCATCATTGGAACTCTGGGATCTTTCCATTCTTGGGATCAGGGCCAAGTCTTTTCCTGGCTGCCTCCATCTGAGGAGATCTTTCTCATTCTGGAGGATGGTCCAATGAGACCCCCAGGAAAACTTTTGCACAATTAACAAAATAGGAGACATTTCCTTGACCAACAGGCATCTGCTAAACACCCCTGGATATGCAGCTAAAGGGTCTCACAAAAAGCCTGATATAGATGTACTTATCATCCGTGATCCTTTACCTTGTGAAACTGACACACAGTTAAATAAATTAATCTATTTACTGTGCTCAGCAGTGTCCGGCACAGAGCAGATAGAGGTCCCTCCCTTTCCTGTCTTGTTCTTTTCGTTCTGAACAGCTATTACACAATCTCACAGTCAAGCTATGTACAGGGGGCACAGACAGGTATAAAACAGATCAACAGACAAGATGCTAACCCACCCATATTCCATAATGACAGAGGAAGACGGCAGGTGCTGGCCTGACAAGGTCCCCAAGCCTCTAGCAAGGGGTAGACAGCAGGGTGACACCTAAGAGGCCAGCTTGGCTGGAAGAAAATCAGAAATTCATTGGTTCATTTTAATCCTGCGGTATACAGGAAAACATTTCTTTTCTGATACCAAAATTTTTCTTTCTTGAGCAGAAAAACAGGATCACGCAATGCAGACAGACAAAGACACAATTAAACACAAAAGGTCCTCCTGGGAAATGGTGCCCCTGAAATGAAGCAGGAAAGGCAAAGGAAATGAACTTACTTCCAGTTCAGGGTCTGCACATCGCCCCTGCAGAGCATCAGAACTTGATCTTGTTGTTGACGTCAAACTAAGAAGCAAACAGAAAAATCAGCAGTTTATTAATGCATTTTATATCATGTGGAATGAAGGGGCAGGCTGATGGCCAAGGCTTCAGTAAGAGGCTCACCGCCACCTACAGTCAGGGTACTTAAAGTAAAAGCAGTCTATTTTGGCACGGCACCTGTGGCTCACACGGCTAAGGTGCCAGCCACATACACCTGAGCTGGCGGGTTCAAATCTAGCCTGGGCCAGCCAAACTACAATGATGGCTGCAAAATGGCCGGGTGCTGTGGCAGGCACTTATAGTCCCAGCTACCTGGGAGACAGAGGCAGAAGAATCGCTTGAGGCCAGGAGTTGGAAGTTGCTGTGAGCTGTGATGCCATAGCTCTCTACCCAGGGCGACAGCTTGAAGCTCTGTCTCAAAAAGAAAAAAAAAAAAGGCAGTCTACTTCAATGTCCCACTTTATTCGCAAACTGGCTGGCCATTCCATAGTTGATGTCTTTGTACATGGATCACGTTAGATCATGTTACAAAGAGAAGTCTGTAGGTAGAGAAGGTAGATGTCTTTGGTCCTGAATCTTGGTTTTTGCTTTTCCTCCCTGAAATACCAGAATTGTTTTCTAATCTCACTTTATCTTTCCTTCTCTCTGAGAGTATCAAAAGCAATGAGCGAGCCCAGAGGTAGCAATGGAAAGCATGGGCACAACAGCAAAGGTCACAGTTATTTACTGTGACAGTCAGCCTATGGCAGCATAAGGTTTTCTGTTTGGGAAATTAACAGAGTAGCTGTCAGCGAAACAAAAAGTCAAATTCTTCCTGTCATTTTCCCCATACGTAGAGGTAAAATGTTAGAAAATGTGTGGCTATGGTATAAAAAAAATTATTTTTCCTAAAAACCAAACATGGCAACATTTTAAGCAAATAGAAGTATATACAAATCTTGGGGTTCCAGCTAACTTTATAGATTCAATTCAGCAAATGAGTTCAGAGTGGAAGCCCATTCTGTGTCAGGCCCTAGTCTCAGCACTAGGATCCCACTGGTGAAAAGGGCAAAAGTCCGGCCCTCGTGCAGCCTATGACCTGGCCTGGCTGGGCGGGGAGTGTTGTTGCCCAGGCAGCTGGTCTGCTAGTGGACACTCATCCCAACCAAATGAACCTCAGGGGCCAACAGGGTCTTCTCTGCCCATTCTTGTCCACTTTCCCAGGGAGAGAAAAGATCAGTGAGATGCAGATAAACAATAAGAAGCCTTCCTTACAAAGAGGGCTGCTGGGAGCCAGGTGTATCTCTTCTTTTGTGGTCAACTCTAGTACAATAGCATCACTTTCATTTTGACTTTGAACTGACGGATGCTAATCTAGGCCCCTCCCATCTGTGAGCCTAGCTAGAGGAATGCCAGAAACATTTCCCGGTGGCTGTGCACCCAAGAACACAGCAGTGCTGCTGCATTGATGAGCAACCCCTGTTCTGTGCATACGAATTATGAGTCAGTACAGTATACTCATGTTTTAGAGAAAAGTTTTAAGAGATCAGTATCTGAAATTTTCATTTGAAAGATGGCATTCTTTATTATTTTCTTTTTATTATTATTCTGAGACAGAGTCCACTTTGTTGCCCTTAGTAGAGTACCCTGGCGTCATAGCTCACAACAACCTCAAACTCTTAGGCTCAAGAGATCCTCTTGCCTCAGCCTCCCGAGTAGCTTGGACTATAGGCACCCACCATAATGCCCAGCTATTTTTAAAAGGCAAAGGATTTATGTGATCTGAAGAGAAATAGTTGAGAGTATACACTCAACTATTTTTAGAGGTCGGGACCTGCTCTTACTCAAGCTGGTCTCAAACTCCTGAGTTGAAGGAATTGAACCTCGACCTCTCAGAGTGCTAGGATTATAGGCGTGAGCCACTGCACCCAGTCTGGAATCCTTGTTTCAGAGTTAAAATGCCATTTTATAAATTCTTTGTTGTTTTTTGTTGTTATTGTTTGTTTGTTTTTGGCTGGGGCTGGGTTTGAACCCGCCACCTCCAGCATATGGGGCTAGTGACCTACTCCTTTGAGCCACAGGCACTACCCTATAAATTCTTTGGATTAAAATGGTTTCCGAAAAACAAAGCTTTTAATTCTGGCTCCTCTTCTACTTCACCTTACCATCAAACAGCATTTAAAATGGGAAAGGTTTTTTTTTTTTTTGAGACAGAGCCTCAAGCTGTCCCTGGGTAGAGTACCGTGGCATCGCAGCTCACAGCAACCTCCAACTCCTGGG